CCCCAAAACCCCAAAACCCCAAAACCCCAAAACCCCGTGAATTCAAAATTTTTGATAGCGAGGATTTGCATTAGTCACTAATCATAATATTAATTTGATTGAGAGAAAAATTAATATAATGGGCTGCGTAGAATCAAGAATTGTTGATGATCCTTTCGCATATCAGTAAAAGTATTTTACCTCCATATATAGATATCATTCTTAGGTTCAAATTTGTTAGATTTAAGGAAAATGATCTTATGCAGATAGCAATTAACGGAGAACTGCCCAAAATGAAAGCAGCATGTGAGCAATTACAGATTTAAGAAGTGGTTGGTATTCGTGGTTATACAAACATAGATGTTAAGTTATTTGGGTAAAAGCAAGTCACAAAGATGTGGAATCCCCTTATGTACGCGCTAGTGTTTAAGAGGCATGATATAATGAAGTACTTAATAGAATAAAGGATGGTAAATGCAAAACTTTGCCTACGTGATCCCGTTCATTCTGGAGAGTACTCTGAGGTGAGTCCCTAATATGAAGTCAGATCTAAATGCTTTGCAGTCCTTGTCTCAATATATAATAAAGACTGGGTGACACTTAACTATCTTCTAAATAGTCTGCATTAATTGTGGTCTTATCATGAACTAGAGATAATTTTCTAGGAGTTGAATAATGTAAAAGAGCAGAGTGAGATTAATTTATGCCTTGAAGCTATCTTAAAAAGCAAAACTTTTGAAAGTATCTTCCTGAATAGATGCTTCAAGCATCAAATGGAATTGTTAACAAAAGTTATCAGAGGCGACTTATTTGATGCTGGTGATCCATCAATATAAAAGATAATTGATAACTATTTCAGCAATAATCCATATACTACTGCATATTTAGTTGTCTTGCTTAAATCAAATCATTACAAACCAGAAAAGATAAAGATTCTCCTTAGAAAATCCCCGAAAGAAATCATATAAAATCAAAGAAAGTAATTTTTATCGCTAGTGGGAGAGCTTCAGTTAACATAGCGAGATGGATCTGAGGAAATCATTCAATAGATCTTAAAACTTTTGAATTCAGAATCTTAATATACATTAACGGGGATTTACTCTATTATTTTAAATTCTACAAAGAATGGTGATATTTCGAAATTGCAAGAATACATTTTCAAATGTTAGTTTACCGAAATAAATTAAATTACTAATGAAGAGGATTAAGTTTAGCATGAACCTTCAGACATTGAGAAGATGCTTGATATAGCTGAAATTGTGCTTAAAAACTGGGACAGCAAAGGGTAGAGTATTGTTGATGTAAAGTGTTTTCATAAGAATGATTCGCCATCAGGATCAGATACAAGTTTAAAAGTAAGACAAAACGATTACAAATACATATCAGAATGGAATCCATTACTATTAGCAGTATATTATAATCACATGCATATTGTCAGATATTTTTGCGAGATTGTTAAGATCAATCTGAGATCGACTCTTGCAATGTCTAAGGGCGGTGAACTTCCTCTAATGTATACTCTAGCTTGTGCTATTGTAAAGCCTCAATGTACAGATATATTCTAGTATATTTGGAATAACTACTCTTTTGTTTGGGACTACAAGTGTTTAAAGCAAGCTTTACTCATTATTATTAATTATGAGAGAATAGATCTACTTTTATTTGTACTAAGAAGCAAGACAGCACAGTCACTCTTCTTAAGCTTTTCATATCACTTTAGGATACAGTTCTTATCTTAGTTTGTTGAAAATTACTTTGATTAAAGCCCTGAACTCCTAGAGAGGATGGAGATTGAAGAGAGAAACAGGATTAATAAAATAGCCAATATTTTCAAGAACGAAATCTGCGAGCAACCCTATGCCCCCATATCAATGATAATCTTCTTATACGTGCATCCGGATCAAAGAAGATTTGTAAATACTTACTATAACGTGACTGATATTGACATTGAAAGATTTATCAGATCGAACTACGACTCTGCTAAAAACATTGTTGAAGGTTTTAGCTCAGATGAGTCAGTCTAGTAACTAAGAGAAGAGATCCCAAACTTCAAAGATATTAAAGTATAGTTGCTGAATCTCTCCACCAAAATTTAGAATCACCCTTAGTATCTGTCAATGACTAAAACAAAAGAAGTTTCTAAAAAGAAGAGCATGAATATGATGCAAGAGGTTGATATGATCTAGCTGAACATAGATATTGAGGATGAAAGTACTCGAAATGAAAGTAGCTAACTTGGTATCAAAGATGTTGATAGTTTAACTCTTCCTATTTATTGAAGATAAGAAGAATAGTGTTTGATATTTATTGAGGTTTCATAATTAGACTAAAATTAAATATTTAAAAAGTTGAGAATTTATGATTAGATTTCATCTATTATCCCAAAGATTCTAATCTTCGGGGTTTTGGGGTTTTGGGGTTTTGGGG